AAAGGCTTTAAATGGGCATAGATTCATTTTGGTTGCAATTGATTACTTCACCAAGTGGGTGGAAGCCGTCGCTTTCAAAGCAGTCACCAAGAAAGCAGTGGTAGACTTTGTTCACTCCAATATCATTTGTCACTTTGGTATCCCAAAGACCATTATCACTAACAATGCAGCCAATCTAAATAGTCATTTGATGAAGGAGGTATGCGAACAATTTAAAATCATGCATCGCCATTCTACCCCTTACCGGTCAAAAGCCAATAGAGCAGTTGAAGCGGTAAACAAGAATATCAAGAAGATTCTTAGGAAGATGATCCAAGGTTCCAGGCAATTGCATGAAAAGTTGCCTTTTGCTCTTTTGGGATACCATACGATTGTTCGCACATCTGTTGGTGCAACTCCGTATCTGCTTGTATACAGAACTGAAGCTGTAATACCCGCTGAAGTCGAAATTCCCTCTCTCCGAATTATTGTGGAATCAGAGATTGAAGACACTGAGTGGGTCAAGACCCGATTAGAACAACTGATGTTGATCGATGAAACACGACTAGCAGCAGTGTGTTTCGGCCAGTTATACCAACAAAGAATGGCACGTGCTTACAATAAGAAACTGCGCCCAAAGCAGTTTAAGGTAGGCCAGCTGATTTTGAAACGCATCATTCTGCACCAGGTAGAAGCTAAAGGAAAGTTCTCCCCGAACTAGCAAGGACCCTACATCATCAAGAAAGTGTTACCAAAAGGGGCCTTGCACTTGGTAGATAAAGAAGGACGGGTACCAGACATGACTATTAACGCAGATGCAATCAAAAGATGTTATGTCTGATATATACCCATTGTAGAATTTTCACGCATTGATTTTCTCAGATTGAAGTGGCGAAGGCTATCATTTGCTCGCTATTCCAAATAGGTGTCACCCTTTTTGTTAATCCTTTTGAGCCGTATTTGTCTTCCTTGTCTATCACTTCTTGGAACTTGTGTACTTGTAAAAAAAACAACAACAAATCTCTGAGTCATTGAACTACGTCCAACCTGATTCTGAAAGGATACGTAGGCAGCCTTACCCTGGGTTCAGTCCCATCAGAACAAAAAATCCATATTCCCAATACTCCAAAACTGGGGCAGAAGTTTGTTTTATTTCACGGTTTTTTCTGTAAAAATGATTCCAAAAGTTGTAATTCAGTTCAAGGTCCATTTCACCTTTTTATCTTTCAAGAACTTCTGATCGATGTTTTTTAAGAATGATTGAAGTCCTCATGCCAAAGGCATTGGATAACCTCCCTCATACAGTATCTTAGTCAAGAAAAAAGAAATGAAAGAGTCTTATCAGTAAAAACCCGTACGGGCACTATAAGGCAATAGTGAGCAGAGAAATGAGAGAGTCTTATTGGTGAAAACCCAGATGGGCACCATAAGGTGATAGTTAGTAGAGAAATGAGAGAGGTTAGTTAGCGAAAACCTGTAATGGGCGCTACTAGCCGAATAAGGGTCTTTGATTCTCCGGCATGAGCACAAGCAAGACAAATTCAAGATGAACATTTGCAGCGGATTTTGAGAATTAGACAGGTCAGACAGATCATGCATCCAATCCAAAATGCTTGTCATGATTCATTAAAGTCGGCACATACCTCCAGATAAGTCTCCCTATTCCTTTTCCCGAAAGGGACACCTTTTGTTTAAGCACAGTTCTTTTTTGCTTCCAATTATTATTCTATTTTTACCCATAATTTTTCTTTGAGTCCCCTTCGATCTAATCCTGCATCAAAATCGAAGCAAAGAAAGGGCTGCAAAACTGGCTACAACTTCCCCGTAATGTCTAGCACAATTTGGGGCATATATGGCATTGACGAAGGCACGAATCCATCTCAGATCTCATTCGATAAGACAAACAAAGTTTCTAAAAAAGAGCTAAAAGGTCGCCTAAGCAAGACCTGCTTTATGAGAAAAGTTGATGAGCACTACGGACACAAACTGATACTGGGTTAGACAACTAAGTTTGATTTTAGAGAAAAATGCATGCCTTAGAGATAAAGGTAGCGGTACCATGGACATCTGGGTATGAAACAGTTGGGGGCAATATTGTGAAGCCAAGGTCTCTAGAAAATGATATAGAGCGGCATAACATCTCGGTACCCCGCTGACAGAATCGGTTCTTTGACAGCAGTAGTCGTGAATCAAGCTACTCAGGGCATCAAGGCCACAAACCAACCACCACTTTAAAAACTCACAAGTTTTTCTTTGTTTAAAGTAGGAACAAAGTAGTGCAGAATGTCGGTCCTAAGTGAACGAATGTCACCAAACGTAAGATCCTTAAAATCTCCATTTTTCTTTTATTTTCAACATGCATCACTATTGTTCACACCTCCTATTTCTGAAGCTTAACTCAGGTAGAACCGTTTCGCCTAGGGGGATCCAGCTCATAGTTTCCGGGTAGAAGTACTCT